AGCTTTCTTTTCATTACCATTTGCATGGAGTATCTTTTTCCATCCCTTCACTTTCAGTTTGTGAGTGTCTTTAGGTCTGAAGTGTGTCTCTTATATGCAGCATATATGTGGGTCTTGTTTTTTTATCCAGTCGGCCACCTATGCCTTTTAATTGGAACATTTAGTCCATTGACATCTAAAGTAGCTGTTGATGAGTATGTACTTATTGCCATTTTTTAACTTTTTTTTTCTGGGTGTTTTAGTTGTTCTTCTCTGTTCCTTTCTTCTTCACTTGCTCTCTTCCCTTGTGGCTTGATCGCTTTCTTTAGTATTATGTTTGGGTTCCTTTCTCTTAGTTTTTTGTGTATTTATTATAGGTTTCTGGTTTGTGATTACCATGGGGTTCATATACAGTAACCTATGTATATAGCAATCTATATTAAGTTGATGGTCTCTTTAGTTTAACCTCTATCTGAAAGCGCTCCTCTAACTCCCAGCCTCCCACATTTTATGTTTTCAATATCATATCTAACCTCTTTTTTGTACCCATTACCCTCTTATCATGGAAATAGATAATTTTTCCTATTTGTGGTCTTCTCTTTCCCCCTTAAATAAGTCCCTTTAGCATTTCTTCTAAAACTGGTTTCTTGGTGACAAACTCCTTTAATTTTTGCTTGTGGGAGACTTTTTATCTCCTTCCATTTTGAATGATAACCTTGCTGGGTAGAGTATTCTTGGCTGTAGGTTTTTTCCTTTTAGCACTTTAAATATATTGTACCACTCTCTTCTAGCCTGTAAGGTCTCTGCAGAGAAGTCAGTCAATCCTTATGGGATTTCCTTTGTATGTACCTTGTCTTTCTCTTGCGGCTTTTAGGATTCTCTCTTTATCTTTAATTCTTGACATTTTAATTATGATGTGTCTTTGTGAGGGCCTCTTTGGGTTTATCTTGTTTGGTGCTCTCTGTGCTTCCTGTACCTGGATATCTGTTTCCTTCCTTAGGTTAGGAAAGTTTTCAGCTATTATTTCTTCAAATAGATTCTCTGCCCCTTTGTCTTGTTCTTCTCCTTCTGGGACACCTATAATACGGATGTTGGTGTGCTTGATGTTGTCCCAGAGGTCCCTTAGACTGTCCTCACTCTTTTTAATTCTTTTTTCTTTTATCTGTTCAGCTTGGGTTATTTCTTCTAGTCTTTCGTCCAGCTCGCAGATCCATTCCTCTGTATCCTTTACGCTGCTTTTGAGTTCCTCTAGTGAATTTTCCATTTCCAGTATTGTATTCTTCATTTCTGATTGGTTCTTTTTTATATCTTCCATTTCTTTGTTGACGTTCTCACTGAGTTCATCCATTCTTCTCCCAAGATCTGTGAGCATCCTTAACACTCTTTGTTTGAATCTCTGTCAGGTAGGTTGCTCATTTCTGTTTCTTTTAGTTCCTTTTCTGGGGTTTTGTCCTGTTCCTTTACTTGGAATGTATTCCTTTGCCTCCTCATTTTTCCTCTTTCCCTGTGCTTGTGTCTATGTATTAGGTAGGTCCACTATGTCTCCTGATCTTGGAGAGGTGACCTTATATAAGTGATGCCTTATGAGGTCTGCAGTGTGCTTCCTTCAGTTCCAAATGTTCCAAGAGTGAACCCTGTGTGGCTATGTGTCTCCTTCTGTTGTGGCTGGGTTGCTCTTCCCGTAGGTGCCCAGGGAGGCTGAGCTGTCCCCCTGGCCAGCTGTTGTAACTCTCAGCTGCTTGTAGTTTTTGTGGGATCTCACAGTCTCTTTATCAGATGTGGGGAGCCCCAGCACAGTTGGCTGCAAGGTCTAATAGCACATTCCTGTTGCAGTTTTTCTACTAAGTGAATAGGCCCCCAGCATGGCTGGTTGTTAGGCCCAGGGGCTACAACTGCTGTAAGCCTCTGGACTTTAAGTCTCTTTTCAGCTCTCTGAGGATTGCAGCTGGGTGTGGCTGGCCTTAGGCATGGGACCACCCAATTGTTTCAGGCTTTGGAAGGTGGGGCCAATCCCTTATGTGGTTGTTTGAGAAGCACAAGTCTACTGCAGCTGCCAAGCCCTGCCGCCCACAGGTCCACACACATAGTCAACACAGTCCTGTCCTGTGCACATGCCCGACCTCCTGAAGTGGACCCAGTCTCTCCACGGCAGGAGCCCCACACACTCCACCACTGCACCACACTCTCCACCCGCTCCTTATGCACGCCCCACCCCACAGAGGTGGACCCACTCCCCAGGCTGAAGAGAATCCAGGCAGTTCACTTAGCAGGCCCACAAGTTGCCCAAGGGCTTGTTGTTGGGTGGGGCCAGTTGGGGTAGGCTGCCTTCCCTGGCTGAGCTGGATTACATCGCTGCTGTAGTGGGTGGGGCAGACCCTGGGCTAGCAGGCCAGGGGAAGAACTCCACTGATGTCTGCCAGTGTCTGTGTCAGCACGCCCAAACCAGATCAAAACAATGGTGGCCGCCAATGTCCCAGTCCCCGGAGGGGTCTCACCTCTCACCGAGATGCACTCAGAGCCTATCAGGTGAGTCTCTTTTCACTGAAGGACTGTGCACCTTTCTTTCTGGTGATTTTAGGTTGCTTTCTGAAATGGGTGAATTTGTGCATGGGCTTTTTAAGAGCTGGCTTTAATTTCTTTGTGACCCAGATTTTCTGGGGGTACTCCCCAATGTTGTTAGTAGCAAGCAAAGTCAGATATTATGCCACTCATCTTGGTTGTCCCGTGTCCAAAAAATGCCTATAGCGGGCATGCTCCCTGGCTCAGGTCCCCACTCCTCCAGGGAAGGCTGCGTACCTTTGGGCTGCTCCCTGGTGGCTGTGAAGTGCTGTGGCTTGTGAAGGTGGTGTTTTTTCTCTCCAGACGGGAGTTTCTGCCTCTTCCACCTCAATTAGGATTGTTGTTTGTTGCAGGGGTTCCTCTTACCCAGTTTTCAGTTCTTTCTCAGGGGCAATTTTTCCAAGAGTAGTTGTAAATTGGCTGTGTCTGTGGGAGGAGGTGAGTTCAGAGTCCACCTACGCTGCCATCTTGACTTCTCTCCCCTAAAAGGAATGACTCTTGACAGCAACCCAACAGAGGAATGCTTGGGGAGTGATGAGACCACTGCAAGGAAGGAATTAACCTTCTCCAAAGTTAAACTGTAAATCCAACATATAGGGAAATAGGATGGTTGTGGGGAAAACGGCTTTGAAACACCTGCAAGACTTCGTGAACCTGAGTGACTTTATGGCCAGGTGATTGTGGGTAGTAACAGTTAAATTTCTCAGCATTACCTGAGCTACTGACATTCTGCTTTATTACTTTCTTGTGGGTTTCCTTAGTGCAGGCAGCATCCTCAAGTGGAATCCAGCTAGGGCATGACGTTTGGCAGTTTGGGGCTTACCTGGTGGAGGACCACGGTAATCACGGCCTCGGAAGCTGGCATCGGTCTCTCCATCCAGGTGTGGCCCTGACACTTCCCATGCACCCTCCTAGCCACAGCACCTCATGCACTGTGCCAGCAGTCAACATTTTTTGCAGTCCCCTTGAAGCATGCATTATTGTATATGGGGTCAGGGGGCAAATGTGAGAAAAGGAAACCCAACAATCCTCTACATTGATATAAAGCTTTAGTATTTTAAAAGCACTTTACTTTTATTTTATCTCATTTGATCATCTCAATAATCCTGTGCGATAGACAGGAGGCACTAACGTAATTGCCACTGTGGCTCTTGTGACAATGGAGCAGAAAGTGCTATTAGTATGCTTCATTATTGCTGTACTTGCCTTCAAAAGACTTCAAGTCGCCGAGGGTAATTCTCTCCAGTTACAGATGAGGACATGAAGACACACAGAGGTTCAATGAACTGGGCCTAAGGTCACCCGGCTTCTTGGTGGTGGGTGGTCCTCTCTAGGGCTGCATCTGTGCTAGTCCCAGCTCTCAGAAAAGTTTTGTGATGGAAATGAAAGAGTCCCCAATTCCCACCGAACATTTCCATCCCAACAGGCCCAGCTCCTTGCCGCTGTTAGAAAAGATTTTCTTTGGCAAGGTCATCCATGAAACCATCATATTAAATCCTGCTTCCTTTCTCAAAATACCAGAGGCAATCTCTCAAATCTATAGAACACTTGGATATATGTAGTGTGTTCTTTCTTTTTTCTTAAATTGTGAGATAGAGCAAAACCATTTATATACAGTTTAATTACAAATTGTAAAGACTAATTACTAATTCTGTTTAAGAAATAGAACACTGTTAGCATCCCAGAACCCCCCAAGTCCCTCCCCAATCACAACCCTCATTCTCCTCCCTAGAGGTAACCACCATCCTCCTTCTGTGGTAATTATTTTCTTGCCTTTCTGCATAGTTGTACCTCTTCTGTAGGTATCCCTAAATAATAGTTTTGTTTTGCTTGGTTTTGAATTGTTATAAGTGGAGACATACCATACAGTGCATGTCAGTTTGTTCTTAATATATTCTTATTTTGCCCTTCAGAAACCCTGAGCCAGGAGTCATGGCAGCCAAACCCAAGCTCTACTACTTTCGTGGCAGGGGCAGAATGGAGTCAATCCACTGGCTGCTGGCTGCAGCTGGAGTGGAGGTTGGTTCCCGATTGGGAAAAGGAAGGAGGGAATTTGCTGCGTGGTATTGAAGCGATCCTCTTCCCCCTTCAAAATTCAGGGTGGTGCCTTCGGGCTATACCCACTCTTTCCCTTTCTAACTGTCTTCCTTTGTGAGAGGTGAAGGAGGGATCATAGTCTTCTGTTTAAGGAGGGGTCAGAGGTGGAAGCCTAGGGAGGTGTTCTGGAAGCTTTGTAGCAGCTGAAAAGATCATGGTGGATCATAAGATGGGGGAAAGAGAGGAGACCCATATCTGAATGATTCTCTTCAGTGGGACCGGCTGATTTCCCGGGGTCTTTTCATCTCTGCCTTGGCACCTCAGTCTTGTTCTACTCATGGATGCCAACTGGAAACTTAGGTTCAGCCGATGTCTGGTCTCCTCTTGAACCCTCCTCTGAAAGGTCTGCCACATGGAGATCTTTCCTTAACTCTGAATTCCCTCTCCACTGGCTTTTCCATAGATTTTCACAAGTGCTTTGGAATTGTTTTGTTTCGTGCAGGTGTAGATCCCTTTTCCTGTTTGAACGTCATGTCCTCCAGGACAAGGATTCATTACCTTCTTTTTTTGCTCACCTCATCCTACCCCCATCCCAAGGTTTGAGGGACAAAAAAAGTCACTCTTGGGGGCCAGCCCATTGGCGTAGCAGTTAAGTGCACGTGTTCCGCTGCTGGCGGCCCAGGTTCGGATCCTGGGCACACACCGATGCACCACTTGTCAGGCCATGCTGTGGCGGTGTCCCATATAAAAAAGTGAAGGAAGATGAGCACAGATGTTAGCCCAGGACCAGTCTTCCACAGCAAAAAAAGAGGAGGATTGGCATGGATGTTGGCTCAGGGCTGATCTTCCTCACACACACACACAAAAGTCACTCTTTCACACAAAAGCTTTACAAACTCCATCAATAATAAATTATGAGAATCCCACCTGGGTAATGATCCTTGGATCCCTTTCATTGAACATGTGAGCATCAAAGAGAAATTTAATTTGTCTTGATATGGAAGGAGAACAATACAGAACAAAGAGGAGAAAGAAAAGAGAGGAAAGGGAAGAGGAGAAATCGCTGGGGAAGTTGGAGAAAAAATGAGTTTGGAGAGAGGAAAGAGCTGAGGTGAAGAAAAGGAGAAATGTGGGTGGGGGCTTAGAGATATCCTATAAGTTGGCAAAAACCAAAAAGGGGTGCCCGTCTCATGCTAGTCTAACCAATCTACACACATACTCGGTCAGAATTTTCAGCTATGTGGTAGTTGACAGCTTTGTGATTCCTTTTCAAATTTTCGTTCTGGAAGCCATTGGGCATTTTATACTGTGAGCATTTCTCTCTCTCTCTTTTTTTGAGGACCTTAAAGTTATAACAATGTCTTTATCCTTTGTCTAGTTTGAAGAAGAATTTCTTGAAACAAGAGAACAATATGAGAAGTTGCAGAAGGGTAAGCCTAGATTTATTCAATGTCGCCTTATTGGAAAAAAATGAAATTTGTTTCTGGAAATACTCACTTCGATATAGAACACAGAGCTCTAGAGTGACAACTATTAGAAAAGGTGGATAGCGTGACTGCTGACATCAACTGTTCACTGTGTCCCTGGCACAGAGCTGAATTTGTCGTCTGCATTGCGTCCTTAGCCTTTGTCAAAGCTTATCAAGCAGGTTATGACCCTGACATCAACTAGATACGATGGCATGAGTTGACCCAGTGCCAATTGGTTCCATCCTCTCCATCCCACTGAAGAAACCTTTAAAAATTCTTAAATAATGAACCGCTTGTTCTTGATGGTTTTAACAGATTACCAGAAAACATTTTGTCAGGTCACAGTTGTAGAATCAAAACTGTAGAAAAGACCCAAATTTGATGAACTTTGGATCCAAGAAGTAGTTCTTAATCTTTGCATTCCCCAGAAGAATTTCTCACACTGAGAGAAAAGACTAGTACTTTCATGGTACTTAAATTTCTAACAGCCATAATGTTATTTTCCTTATCTAAGGAAACCTGGGTGTCCCCATTGTTGCTGATTAAGAGTCATGAAATTAACACAAATTATTTTTTAAGACATTCAACTAGTAGTCAGCAGATCTGCCATTTACAAACTGTATGACTTTGGGCAAGGCCTTTAACTTCTCTGCATCCTGCCTCCTTACCATAAAGTAAAAACAGTCTTTATATTCCTGGATTGCAAGGTACCAGTAGATCATATTGAGTGGGGGTGGCCCACTTAACTGCTTTCCCAATTCTTGTCCAGGAACTTTATTATCTGGAATCCCTTGAAGCTCTTTGTCCTCTTCATTTCTGTCCCACTCCATCCCAAACAAGGACAGTCACTGGTACCTGGTAGAGGTTAAATACATACGTATTGAGTCAATAAATGAATGTATCTCCATAAACTCTTTTTCATGATCATTCCAGCAGGAAGTGCTGTCTAACAGCCTCTGAGGTCCTCCATCCCTCCCTGAGTCTCTGATGCTGCTATTGTGCTTGAGACACCCTCCTGGGTGTCACTGTTGTTTGTGAACAGGAGGCAGAGAGGGACAGCGAGAGGGCACTGGCCCAGGAGCCAGGAGGCCCACTTCTGTCGGCTTGGATCTCCCCTGACAGTGTGAGTTTGGGCAAGCCACCTTTGCCGCCCTTGGCCTCCCCAGTACTATCATCTATAATATGAACAAACTGAACTAAACGATCTCAAAGATCTTTTCCTGCACTCTTGACCTGAGATTTTTTTTAATCCTTCTGAAGAAGATCATCAGCTCCTAGAAGCAGGGATCATTTCTAATGGAGGTTTGCATCACTCATAAGCAGCAGCACAGAGCTCAGCTTTCGATGCTCATTTAATATGGAACAAATGTAGAAATACCTTTAGGAAATGGAGGTTTTACAGTCTCTCTGTTAATAATAGTACTGGTATTTCCAAAGCATGGTCACAAGTTTGATCTTATTCTTACTCAAAGAAACCCAGTAAAATGAGCAGGATAGATACTGTTGCAGATCAGAAAAGAGGCTCAGAAAAGTCAGAGACTTGCCTAAAGTCACCCAGCTAGACAGGGACACGGGCTCCCTGGAAAGCTGTCACTGGTTCCTCAGCAATATTCTCCCCCCATCCTCTACTGCCTCGCATTAAGTCAGATAGGAACAGTAGTGGATGTTGGGGAAATTAACTGTGGCCTTTGCCAATGCTCTAGCGAGGTCTGGTTCCTATCCTGGGTAAAGTTCCTTATTCTCAGCAATGTACAGGTGTTAATGAAATGTAAAGGCTGTTAATTTCTTCAAGACCCCATGAAAGAGCACTATTTGTAGGATGTCTTTAAATGCATTATTCATATAGGCAGTCACAAAGAAGAGAATTTGACTTTACTAAACATTGGCTATTGACAGTATGCAGTGTTTTACTTATGTTATCTCATTTCATCCTTTCAAAATCCTACTGGATAGATATTATTACCACTTTGGAGAAAAGGAAGTGGAAGCTCAAATAAGTCATTTGCTTCAAGTCACACGGCTGGAAAGGGCTAAATTTGGCATTCAGACCCAAGTCTGCCAGGGTTCTTGCTGTTATGTCGTCCAGTGTATGTTGTCCTTGCTGTGTAGACTTAGACTGATACTTTTGTACTTTTTAAAGAATTCAGATCCCAGACTCCACCCCTGAATCAGAATATCTGGGAGGTGGGGTATTTTTAACAACCTACCTCCCCCAGGTGATTCTTATACATCCTAAACTTTGAGAACCAGAGCACTTATACTATAACATAATCATAGTAAATGGAGACAGTCTTAAATATCATGATTAACCAACACACAAAAATTCATGAAACCATCAAGTAAATCTCAAATTTTCCATGAAGCAAATGATAGGCATTTCCTCAAGGACTGGGGTCTTTAACTCACCACTTTGGATGAAAACTAGAAATCACTCAACGAAATTAGAAGTGAACCCTCCTCCAGGCTTACCACAACCATGGAGGGAGAGTGTCTTAACCTCTTTTTGCTCAAACCACAGATGGACACCTGCTTTTTGGCCAAGTGCCTCTGGTTGAAATTGATGGAATGATGCTGACGCAGACTACAGCCATACTTAGCTACCTTGCTGCCAAGGAAGGACCTGAAGGAGAAAGTCAGGTACTAGAGTGTTCGTGCCTATACTTGATTCTTTTCCAAGCTTTGTAGTCCTGCACCAACTAAGACCCAGCCCAGGTATAGCCTTTCAGCCTGGACTGAGGGGAGAAGGCAAGAGGAATAAAGGGGAGATGACCTTGTTACATCCGGCATGTCTTGTGCATAACTCTGAATAAATACTCCAGGTCTCCCCTCATAGTGGTCTGCATTCAACATTCTCTTAGTCTCTCCTCACTCCTAACAAAATATCTTCTCATAAAATGACCTGGTAAACTATTCTACGTGAAGCCGGAAATGACTGACTCAGCAAATAAATACATATTGAGCATTGTAGCAATGATCTATTACCACAAATAATGCTGGTATAACATATCATCTTGAAATACAGTGACTTGAATCAGCAAGCATTAAACATTGCTCACCAGTCTATGAGTCATCTGAGTGGCCAGCACATCTGGGCCAGCCTTGACTTATCTGGGCTAGACTCACTCATATTTCTGTGTTCAACCAGTAGTCAGCCGGGAGGCTCTGGTTTTGGGTGTTGGCTGACTATTGGTTGGGAGGCAAATGGGCCACGTGTCTCTCATCCTCTCATCCTGAGCTTGTTCTCATGGCAAGTGGGCAGGGTTCTAAGAGAGAGAGTGAAAGCACACAAGGCCTCTTAAGTTCTAGGCTCAGATCTAGTAGCTCATCAATTCCACCTCATTTTATTAGTGAAAGCAAGTCATGAGGTCAGCCTGGGGAACAGACCCCATCTATTGATGGAAGAAGCTGCCAGGCTTTATCACAAATACTAGAGGGTGAAAATTCGTGGCCATTTTTTGGCATCTATATACCACAAGCGCCTACTCTGCACTGTGCTAGGCCTGGCTGAGGATGATTGGGTTATTACTCCCAGGAATAGTTTAGTTTCACAGGAGATAAATAGACTTAAGACAAAACAAAGACTTGCAACTATAAATTTTATCTGGACTTGGGGTCAAGGGGCCTTTTCAGTGGTCCCTGAAATCTCATCACCATAAGCATGGACACGGTGGGATGGTCAATATACACCAAAGATGTGGTGGGAGAAAGGCCCATCGCTCCATCTTTAAAACTTAGTTATTCTAACCTGCCATCGCAAAGGAGTATGGCAAGCGAAGCAATTTCAAATACAGTCTGTGAACAGAATCCTCTTATAACAATGTAAACAAGCAGTAATATGCAGAAGCAGTCTGTTGCTCATTTGTTTTGGTGCATGTTTTTAATTGTTTTTTAAATCCCCGTGATTTTTTCCAAGATGTGTGTGCTAAGCTATAGGACACCATTAATATTTTTTTCTCCACGTTAGATATAAACTGTAATGGACTAAAGCAAGCAGGCTAGGTGACAATCTAACATGGAAGAAAAATGATTTGTAATTCAGATAAGACAATAAAAGTAAATTATTCTTTTATATGTGTTAAAAGGGAAGACAAAGAAGTTCATTAAATCAAATTTGATGTGCAATTAGCACATAGTTGGGGATACAAGGCTCACAATTCCTAACGAGTTGCAAACTAGTTGTAGATAACTGGCACAGCATGATTGCACCAAGGGCCAATATATAATAGTAACATATCTACCATCATTAGTTTTTTTAATAACGTTTTTTAAAAAAGTGTTTGTCAATAAAAAGAATATTTTAAAGAGAATGAAATAGAACTATTTGTCTGACCTGACTAGGAAAGTAAACTTTTCTGTCTCAGTTGCCAGGTCAACGGAAGACATGATAAATTATATATCTTTCTAAATAAGTGAAAAGGTTCTAGTACTAATTTTGGGTAAACTTCATTCAGTTTGGTTTTTAAAACCATAGTAATCTAATTATTTGTTTATGGCAGATTTCAACTTAGAGGCACTCAATTCTTTCACGCATCCCTTTATTCAATAAACTTTTCCAGAGACTCTACTGTACTGTGGTCACATGGCTGGTACTGGTTTCAGAAATCATTCCTGAGCTTGGAAGCCTACGGGAGGGAGAATCAAAAGTCACTTGCCCCAATATCCATTTACACCATAGGAGTGGCAGATTAGGAAACTCCATACTCAAAGGTTCCTCTCGGAATGAGAGTCAGGTGGTGTTTTTTCAGGATCGACATGTACGCCGATGGCACCCTGGATCTCATGATGATGATTGCGCTGGCTGCGTTTAAACCCCGTGAGGAGAAAGAGGAGAATATTGCTTTAGTTGTGAGGAAAGCTAAAACCCGTTACTTCCCTGTCTTTGAAAAGGTAGGCTACAAGGATCTGGGACTTTTACATTTCCTGTTGCTGATAGGAATATTTGAAGAAACAGAAGCGATGTTAGAGCTTTACTGCATTTGGACCAAAACTTTATTAATAAGGATTCCAAAACAAATAACATGTATAACTATGGAACCCCCAACAAAACAGGATTGAAATAAACCAAGTGCAGTGAAAGGGTACAGTGTTTCTGTTCTGATTTTAAAAATAAGCCATCAGCCCAAGGCGTCACCACCTCGAATTCACTGTGTCAGTCAGATATTTCTTTAGATTTAATGCTATTGGCTAATCATGCCTCACTCAAAGGACAAAGTCTCTTAAACTTACAATTTTTCTGAAGTCGTTTTGGAGTGAATACGAATTACAAAAATCCTCTCAGTACATCTGGCAAGGTTCCAAACCTAAAGGACAGCATGTGACGTGATGAGAAAGTCTTGTTAGCAGAGGGTTCCATAGATAGATGTTTGCAGGCCAAAAGAATTCTGTGGTGTTTATCTTCAGTCTTAGCCTTGGGAAAGAATGATTCCTTGATGACTAAACTATAATTAAGGGTTCTGCTTGTACCTCAGACTGCTAGTCAAGAAAGTTCCTGTTTATTTGGGAACAATGTACAATGTTGTTGAAATAATTAATATGGGTAATTTAAAAAAATTACTATGGTTATTTGAGTCGTATAGTTTAAGTTATAGAGTCAAAGAGTGCTTTATCAGACCACAGATTTTGAAATCTATGTTGCCTGATGTGGTACTTCCCAAAACATTTAAAATCGTTTTTTTCTTCAAATCAGGATCAAATTCAAGTTCATTTGTTGTAATTAGTCAATTACATTTCTTAAGTCTCTTTTAATCTATACGATTTCCCCTTTTCCTCTTTTTTTCCTCCTGCATTTGTCTTGCCCAGTTTCCCACAGTCTGGATTTTAGTAACTGCAGCACACTCCTTTATTTCCTAGGTTTCCTGTCAAATGGAAATTAGAATTTGAAGCTTGATCAGATTCAAGTTTGATTATGTTGGCCAGACTCCTTCCCAGGTGGTGGTGTGTAGGTCATTGGGAAGCACATGTTGTCTGGTTGTCACTCTTCTTATGACGTTAATGTGATTGATGATCAATGCCTAGACCCCGGATTTATTAGTGGATGCAAAATGTTGACATCCCAATCTTGTTAGTTTCTCTTCACTTATTAGCTGGAATACTTTCTATACAATGAATCTTCCCATCATAATATATTTGGTCACCCTGGGGTATGGTTTATGTAGGAAAGGAAGATCAATGCTTGATTCTTTCTTTTTATTCACCACTTTTCAAAATGAGTTAGTTACCCAGCATCTTCAAAGGAGACCAATGAGTTTATTAATGTTTTGGTGCTTTAAGTAACATTAGAATACTACTTACTGTCGTGGATTTAAACATATTTTCTATGTTTTGGTCAGTTTCAGAGCTCTTATTCTTAATGGGGCTCAAATATCCTATCTTTTGGCCAGTGCTATCTTCTTCAAGTTTGCTCCTCGTCCTGTTGACATGACCCCAGAAATCTTTGATGCTTCCTTGCTCTGTGGTACGACAGGATGCTCCAGGCTTAGCTTGTACATTTCCTTCTCCAGACTTTCAATCAGCCATCTCTCCAAGAGGTCTGGTTACTTTCATGTTTCCTAAGTTTTTCATATCGTAGTAGTCATACAATGATAATATTTGTAGGACTCCAGTGCAACCAGACAAAGCAATTGGCAGAGACTGCTCTGGGGGCTCCATCACTCCAAGCCCTGCTCAACAATCTCAAGGGCTTGGGGTTCAAATTCTTAGACACTTACATATAGCAGTGAAACCTGCCACCCTGGATGATGTGTTCTGGCCCACTCAATCTTCATTAATCAGATGCTGGATTATTCAGAACATTCAAATATAAAACTGTTGTATTTAACTTGGAGTTGGATATAATAGTTTTTTTTTTTTTTAATGTGCCTAGTGTCTAATTTGTTCCTAGAGAATCCTTTGGTAAAATGGAACTACATGATTCATTAATATCCGGGTTGCTCTTTCTGAAACAAGTAGATGCTAAATACTTCTTGAGTCTACTCTTTGCCCAGGACTGTGTCACTTCTACTCTGTAAGACAAGGATGTATTAAATAATTTTGATTGTGTTTTGAATTGAAATGCAAAGTTACTATCTTCCTTATGTTGAGTTAAAGAGCAAGAAACTGTTTTAAAATAATATGTCACCCTGATATGTCACTGGGTCTTGGCTTGTGTTATTTTTTTGTTGCCAAGCCATCTTTCTTGATATCCCTTCTGATCAAGAGCATCTATTCTGGAGGCTGCTGGCTGGAATAAGGCATTCTCCCTGGGGCTTCGGGATAAGGTTTTCTCTGTGTGAAGATATGAGCCTGAGCAGAAAACAAACCCTGATTCTCTGATTCATCCAGATAACCAACTGCTTTTGTTAAATCAAAGAATGTTATCTACTTGAACTCAATGACTTAGATGCTGTTTTGTAAAATCATGTTAAGTCCAACTTTTTGCACTCAGAGATTAAATTTTATTTCTGAAAATAAGGCGAGTTTTAAAAATTATTTTATGAGAAGTAGATGCTCCTCATATAAAAAATGGGACAATACAGAAATGTAGAACATAAAAGAAATTAGTCACTACTACCCTCACCACCAAAAGATAAATGTCAGTTATTTTCGTGTATTTCCTTCCAGTCTTTACACTATAAATAAGTTTTTATTTACTTTCAGATTTTTATATAATTGTAATTATACTGAAGATAATTTCACATGTTATTCTATTATTTTAAATGTTTTCAAAAGCAGAACCTACCACTCGGCATTAACAAATGTCAGTACTTTTATTTTCTCGCTTAAGAACTTTTTCTTTCTCCTTAAAACAAATCTATACAGATAGTTGAACTCTCCTTTGCACTGTACCCAAGTATTATATTCCTTCCTTTCTCCCTTTCTAGAGGCTACCACTGTAAGCAATTTGATGCAGATTCTTTCTGTCCTTTTTAAAAATAGAGACTTGGCTTTGGGTTGTTTAAAAAATTTTTACACAAGTGTGTCTTAAAATATTTTTATATACACAATACCATACTATAAGTTTATTCTCCAACTTCCTTTTTTCAATCTACTCTATACTTTGGAGTCATCTAGACAAATGTTTTATTATTACTAATATAGTCACATTTACTTCTTTCATTTTATTTTGTTTTCCATTTGCAAATACAAAGTTTTTCTTTGCCTTTCCTTCCCTCCTTTTCTATGTCCTGTTAGATTGATCAAGATTTTCTTTATTCCCAATTTTTCTTCTGATAGTTTGGAAGATAAACATTTTTTTCTTAAACTATTAGTGACTATCCTCTTCTCAATAAGCCAAGGCTTTGACTTCCCTCCAACCTTCTCTCTCCTCCCTTCTCCCTTTTTTGTTGAGTAATATTTTAGATCCAACTTGATTTTAAACTCCCCCAATTAGTCTTTTTTTTTTAACAGTCAAAATTTATGTTGATTTTTCTTTTTCTTTTTTTTGTTTTTTTGTGAGGAAGATCAGCCCTGAGCTAACATCCATGCCAACCCTCCTCTTTTTGCTGAGGAAGACTGGCCCTGGGCTAACAATCCGTGCCCATCTTCCTCTACTTTATATGGGACGCTGCCACAGCATGGCCTGACAAGCGGTGTGTCCGTATGCGCCCGGGATCTGAATCCCAGGCCGCTAGCAGCGGAAAGTGTGCACTTAACCGCTAAGCCACAGGGCCGGCCCCAAAGCTTACATTGATTGATCAACATGTTTAAGGGATTTCTTTGCTTACCATTGCTCCTTGCCTCTCGTGCCTTTCTTTTCGGTATATTTTCCTTCTACATGAAGAACGTTTTTTTAGAGTTCTTTCAGGAAGAATCTGTAAGTGGTTAGCTCTTTCAGTATTTGCCAGAAAATATCTTTACTTTACCTTTACTCTTAAATAATTATTTAGATGGTTATAGAATCCTAGATTAATAATTATTTTCTGTAACACTTTGAAGATATTATTACAATGTCTTCTGGCCTTGATTGCAGATATTTAGAAGTCTGCTATTAGTGTGGTTATTTTTCCTTTGGTGGTACTGTATTTATCTTTTTTAGATTTTTATCTGATATACTTTCAATACTGTGTTTACTTCTGGATTTTTTTTTTATTAGTCTCCTTGGTGTTCCTTTTCAATCTGAAGATTCTTTCTCTTTTTAAAAAATTTCTGGAAAATCCTCTACCAAATAACTCTTGAAAAAGGTTTCTTCCCTGTTTTCTCTACTCTGTCCTTCTGGGCTACTGTTAGATACACGTTGGAGCTCCATTCTGTTTTCCATGTGTCTTAATTTCTCTTTCATATTTTCAGTATCTTTATTTCCGTGAGTTCTTCAGCTCTATGTGCCAAATGACTGATTTTTTTTTCAACTTCTCCACTAAGTATTTTTATATTGTTTATATATTTCATTTCACAATTTTTATTTGTATTCTGTTCAAACTCATATGCTCTTTTTTTTCTACATGCCTTTCTTTTCATTATCTCTTGGAACATTTTAAACATTTTTAACTCCTTAAAGAGTTCACTCTTATTTTTGGCTCTGTAGCTCAAAATTCTCCTTTTTTCCTAAGTCTATTTCCTCTGTCTCATGGAGGAGTTGTCACATGTAATTTGTAAGCTTGTCTTCGGCAGGAATCACCATATATTTGACATATTTGGTATATTCCATTGACTTTTTATCTTCACAATTATTAGAGTATTCCTTGGCTGGGATACTCCAGAACTCGTTGATTCTTGGACATTTTTTTCATCCATACTAGCGTTTATTTTTATTCTTGTATGTATCACAGGAAGAAATGTCCTGCCTGAATTTATCTTTGTTCCTTATTTATGGAGTCAACCCATGTTAGTACATCTACTCAAAGCAGTGCCTGAGGAATTTTTATATTCACTTTTCACTGCATAGTAAAAAGGCTCAGGTTTGGGCTTCCAGTACCCCAATGGTGACTTATTTCTACTTGTGGTATAGTAGCCAGATTCTAGCTAATGATGACCTTTGTGTCTCCCTTACTGGTGAGTACAGTTTTGCTTAACCAGCTCCGGGTTTACAAATGAGAACTCCATACCAGTACTTCACCACTCAAGAAAATCACTAACAAATTTCCAAAAAGATTGTGCCAATTTACAGCAGTGTGTAAGAGTATTGGTTTTATCCTATCCTTGACAGCATTCTTGGAGATTATCAAGAAAAAGATTCTTTAGTGAATTTGATCTGTTCAAAAGATTCCATGCTTTTGTGTTTAGCCAGGCAAAATAGTCTTTACTTTTGTTTGATACCCTTTGTTATTTTCCTTTCTGTAGATTTTGAAAGACCATGGAGAGGATTTTCTCGTTGGCAACAAATTCAGTTGGGCAGACATACAACTATTGGAAGCTATTTTAATGGTGGAAGAACTCAGTGCTTCTGTTCTTTCCGACTTCCCTCTGCTAAAGGTAATGTTTTAACATCCACACAAAACCCAGGAAACAGTGAATAGAGACAAAGACTGAAGCAAAATATGTGTCTGGGTCAATCTCAAAAGAAACTTAAGAAGACTATTTTAAGAATCATTATTTTCATTCATTTTGGTAATTTTCTCCTGCTTACGCTATAGGATCGTTAGGAAATAAAACCTTATGAAGGGAGAAAGAATAGGTTATTTTGATTTCTAGCACAAACATTTAGCGTTTTCCATATTTTTTAGTGCTTTGAGTGTTTTTTCCTGAAGAAGCAAGGCTGACAAATTTGTCCTTGTTTCTTTTCTCCCCAGCTCCTACCAGACGACTCTGCCCCCCTTAATCCCTCTGATGCCAAAGCCCCCTCGAAATCTCTTGATTGTTCAGAGCTCCTGCTTGGATGGTGCTGCCTGTGTCCCGCTGAGATGCCTGTCTTCAGACCCCTCTGTCTCTGAACCCCGCCACTGTCAGTCTTCACCGGCCTCCATTCTAGTTCCTTAGAAACATTTTATCTAATAGGTGACCATAGGTTTTGTCGTTTAAGAATAGCGTAAATTAGACATTTGTATGAACCAAAAAAAGAAAAGAAAAAAAAAAGACCTAACTAGCCAAATGTGGCTACATTAGGCACTCTGACCTATTATTTTATATTTTCCCCCAAAGAGGATCATAGTCAATATTGTTGTGTGGCCTGCTTTTAACATTTTTTCCAATTATCTTAAATATTTTGCATGTCAACAAATATTCTTCTGCAATATCATTTTATTCGATTTTATTTTCCTTAGGCAGTAGTCACATCATTCTGAAAAATCAGAACTATATAAAAAGGGTGTAAATTGAGAAATATCATTCCCACCACTGCTCTCCCACCTTGCCAACCCTATAATCACTTTTATTGGTTTCCTGTATATCCTTCCAGTGTTCCTATTTATGCAGATATAAGAAAATATGAGTATATATTTATCCCCTCCCTTTTCTTACACAAAACAGAAAATAGTATATATTCTCTTTTGCCCTGGGCTTCTTTTTTAACTAGACAATGCATTCTAGAAATCTTTCCCTGTCAATATAGGGACCTTCCTCTTTGCTTTTATATATAACATTTTATTTTTTTAATTTTATTTATTTATTTTTTTCCCCCAAAGCCCCAGTAGATAGTTGTATGTCATAGCTGCACATCCTTCTAGTTGCTGTATGTGGGACGCGGCCTCAGCATGGCCAGAGAAGCGGTGCATCGGTGCACACCCGGGATCTGAACCCGGGCTGCCAGCAGCAGATCGCACGCACTTAACCGCTAAGCCACGGGGCCGGCCCTGTATATGACATTTTAAATTTCTTGTTTATATTTCTTGCAGGGATGTACCATAAAATACATAACAAATTTTCTTTTCTTGAAAACATAGGTTATTTCCAATTTTTCACTCTGCAAACATTCTTACAGTTGTGTCTTTTCTCACAGCTTATTTATTTCCTTATAATAAATCCCTAGAATAGGAATTGATAGATCACAGGATACGAATTTTTTATTTTTTTTATTTTCATTTATTTATTTTTGTGACGAAGATCAGCCCTGAGCTAACATCTGATGCCAATCCTCCTCTTTTTTGCTGAGGAAGATTGACCCTGGGCTAACATCCATGCCCATCCTCCTCTACTTTATATGGGATGCTGCCACAGCATGGCTTGATAAGCGGTACATAAGTGTGCGCCTGGGATCTGAACCTGCAAACCCTGGGCTGCCAAAGTGGAGTGCACGCATTTACCTACCGCACCACTGGGCCGGCCCCCAAGATATGAATTTTTTTTAGAGTGTTTAATATACACTGCCTAATTGTGACAATTTTTTTTTCTGAGGAAGATTCACCCTGAGCTAACATCTGTTGCCAATCTTCCTCTTTTTGCTGGAGGAAGATTTGCCCTGAGCTAATATCTGTGCCAATCTTCTTCTATTTTGTATGTGGATCGTAGCCACAGCATGGCTGCCGAGTGGTGTAGGTCTGCACTCAGGAACTGAACCCAGGCCGCCAAAGCAGAGCATGCCGAACTTAACCACTACACCACCTGGCCGGGCCCAATGACAATGATCCTTTAATAAGATGATTTAACTCATGCTAAACATACCAGCAATTGTATTCCCCTTCCCAAGAACATCCAGCCGACGTGCTGAGGGATTAACTCAGATTCAACACACTGGGCTCCATAAGCTGCCAGTCTAAGCATCCTCCCCCCATGATGAAGTTTTGATTTTTCTTAAAGGTTGTGACTTCTATTGAGGCCCTGATTTTACTGTTTCTCATTTCAGACCTTTAAAATAAGAATCAGCAACATCCCTACAATTAAGAAGTTCCTGCAGCCTGGGAGTCAGAGGAAGCCACCCCTGGATAGCCACTATGTTGAAGCAGTCAAGACTGTTCTGCAGTTCTCATGGCAGCGCCAATCAGAGCAAACCATAGATTCTAGGAGTAAAGTGTTTGAAAAGAGCAAAACCATAACGCCATCAACAGCAAACGCTGATTAAAGGCAATAGGAAACCATTCTGATGTGTGAAATTTTTTTAAGCTTGTCAATTGTGGATGATGGTTACAACTTTTACGAAATCATTGTTCTGTGTAAATAAATAGGAGGCTGATACATTTAGGGCAGTGGCCTACATAGGGCACTGTTCTTGCTGCCTGCATCAAGATCGGGACCACTGGGGGAAGAATGAGCAGAGATTTGGGCGGCAGGTTCTCTCCAACACCCACATTGATGCTGATAGAAAAAAAGTGGCAGACGACCAATCGGGAGCACGATGATGGCTGATGCTAGTAAATCCTAAGGGGAAATGTGGGGGACAGAGAATGTCCAGTGAACACCATTTCGAGATCTGAAAAAAAATCTTGGACAGTTAGGCAACCCTATTCCGCCTACCATGGCTGCCAAGAGTGGGTTTTGCTTTGATGAAACAACTCCAAGCAACACAGATGATACCGAGGAAGGGCTCGATCTGCTCGCCACAAGATAAAAGGCCAAACAGGCAGTGGTAGAGAAAGAACTTTAATAAGCGATAAGCTAGCATGTCAGAAGATGGCGGACTTTGTCCTAAACACCCCATCTTAAAGGGGAATTGATCTGGAAATGACTTATTTAAGGTGAACGGGATTGGAGAGGGGCTGAGAAATGTCAGGTGATGGATGACAGCAGAACATTGAGTGCTTCTCTGTAGCACATCTGCTGAGTGCAACCTTCCTGAAGAATCTAAGAAAACCTCAGTTACTTCTTTATCTGGGACAGAGGGACAGTTTGGGCAGAGGACAAGTTATTCTTTCTACCGGTCACAGATTCGTTTGCCTACGTACAGTTCTAAGTGTTTTTCCAAAGCACGTTGTGAGAATAAGATGGGGAGGGGAGCATGTGGCCTTGGGGGCCGAAGTTCTGAGTCCTTTGCGCAGGGACGACTGCCTTTCATATTTCTTATGACAGGTGAAGCTTACAATCGGTCATTTTAGCTTCTCAGTGCTCCTGCGTGATGCTTAGTCAGGCGGAGGGCTGTCAGCAAGTTACTCTCTTATCAGCAGTCCTCCTGCTGTTCTGCAAGGCAAGCTCAGAAACTTCGGTTACTTTGTTCCCACATTAACCTTGTGATACAGGCACGGTTTCATCCTAATCCAGGAAAACTTTAACCCCTTCATCCTTGGTTTCACCGAGATAAGATATAACAACTGAATATTTATACAAATTGACCCAGGATTCCCTAGCCTTGGTATACTTTCTTTAAGGATAACTGGTGTGTTCCCAAGTTGTGTAATTTGGAGCTAGGCTCCAAATGGGGGCTCTGTTTGGTGGGGGATGGAGGAGCTGACTTGCTGATAAGGTGGCTATCCAGGGCGATGTTACAGGCACAGCTGTGGTTCCCAGTGGTCTCCGGTCTGGAGCATGGCTCCTGCCAATGGCTTGGGGTACATGACTCTCCCAGCTCTACCCTGCTGCTGGGACGTCCTGCCCAGGCTGCTGGCTGAGGACGTATCCACGCACATGTCCTTACTGGTGAACTGACTCAATGACTCACCAGACTTGATGCTATTTTCCCAGGGCCGACACAGGGAGTGATCATTCCTGCACCACACCCTGCCCCTCCATTCCTCCTCCCCTCCTTAGATGATGGACTGATCACAGAGTTATGACAACTGGGCCATTCAGCACCCAGCACCCCCACCCATGCGGGACCTGAGCTCCTGCTCCCAGGGTGGTCAAATCCCAACTTGGGAATCAGCACATAGCTAATCATCCCATTTCATCTCCCACCCTGGGAAAGCCATGGCCAGCCACCACACAACGGATAAGACAGAGTGGGAGAAAAGGCTTGTCAGAGGAAACCCTGCCTTCTCCGTGTGGGATGACTTTTTCCTCTGACTTCCATCAAAGCGGAGAGTCTGACCTGATAGAAATTAAGTGGAAAAAGAAATGACTTTTTAATGATTCAAAACTGTAAGCCAATTTCCTTTTGTTACAATCACATGGTCTTGTAAATAACTCCAACAGATCAGAAGGCTATACAGGAAAAACTAAATTCTGCCCCTCCCTGGATTGTTTTCTAAAACAGCCACTTCCTGGGTCCTCACTCCTTGCCCCAGTGCCTCCTTTGAGACTCCAAGGGCTGTATGGTTGAATTCCCAAAGTTCCACGCCAGTTTGCCAGGGTTCTATTTCATGGGTTTTGAAAAGAAGCCATAGGTCTGGCACGTTCTAGGAGCACACCACAAAGGCACCTGACAACAGAGGCAGCCAGCCAATGCCAGAGCATGTTTCGTTGCCCGGTAATCCCATAAATACAACTTGCTCTCTTTCTTGTAATAGTCTTTATCTCTTCGTTCTTCCCTATAAGGTTCTCTTTGGGCCCACTGCCTAGCTACCCAAACTAGTAGAGGCAACTCTGGGGGCACAAAGAGTGAGCTTCAGAGACCCCAATAGCACCCAGCAGCATTCAAAGCCCCACTTCTACTTCCGCAACACCAGAGAGTCTTAGCTTTGGACCGAGAAAGCAGGACAAGTGAAGGCAGTCACCCTGATACCAGCTCAAGACAAGGCTGACATGAGGGAAGCCACGCTGTAGAAAAGAAACCCTATTGTAACTTTGAATGACCTCTGACAAACTAAACTAGCTGGATATGCACCCTCCAGGAGATCTAACTGCTCTGTAGATTTTATGACCCCTGCTTGCACATGTACCTCTCAGCTGCAATAAGATGATAACTTTGTTCTTTTGAGTTCTTTAGGAATGTGATGACTCCCAAACAGAGATTCTATGCTGATAGCCATCATCAATGAAAACTAAAAGATCTAGTGTGGCACTCCCAGTCTGTAACACCAGAAGGTCAACATTCCTAACCCCCTCCCCTATAACCCACTGCTGTAAGATGTTGTGCCCCTTAAGATGGTTCTTTCAGACGTGAGCCAGTGTGGGAGATCAAGATTTGGCCACCCTGAAATATATCTCTTTACCTTGATTGTTTTCTCTGAAGGACATTTGACCTCCCCCACTAACTGCCTAAAGAATTTGACATGGTGGCTCCTTCCTGGAACAGATCTTCTATCATGATGGCTATAAAGATAATGTAAAATAGATGTTACAATGGCAGGGGCACCAAGCCCCTTTTATCAAAAACTCTGTCTCTCACTGACCACATTATGTATAGATGACCCTGAAAAGAATTGTCCTCCTGCCCTCTGAAGTCCCAGGCCACTACCCACCCCCAACACGCTGTTCGCCTTTAGCTGCAATACTTAAGCAAGCAGCTTAGACAGAGGGACGAGTTGCTCATTTCTGAGTTTCTCCCATGTATACATGTTATTAAACTTGGTATTATTTTCTCCTGCTAACCTGTCTTGTTGATTATTTGGCCAGCCATAAGAACCTTAAGGAAAAGGGCAGAGGGAGATTCTCACTCTTCCCCCGACACCAGCCATCTTCCCCCTTGCTAGCAAGCTGTAATAAAAAAGTCCTTTCTTTCCTACCACATTGCCTCTTGACTATTGGCATGTCTTGCAACGGGTAGGTCACAAGCTGAACACACCCATAGAAATTGAGGGGTGAGGGAGCTTGGAGGTCCCTGGTCCTCACTTCCAGAAGATACTGGGATGGAGAGCCTGTTACCGGCCTTGTTCTCCCATTTCAGGAGTTTAGCACTCAGGCAAGTGGGAATTTCTTTTCTTGGTGACTATAAATATCCCCTGTTTCAGTTAAAGACTATTTTTGTTTATTTGTTTTGACCTCAGTATACAAAGATTTAAGGGGGGCAGTGGCCCCCCTAAAGACTCCTCCTAACTTGATGCCAATAATTAATCCTCCCTTTAGACTCCAACCTGAATAGTAAGATGTGTGATTGCTGCATGAGTTTCCCAGCACAGGCTAAAGGGAGAAAAGTTAGGACCAAGTCAGAGATGGTTGCTCCCACTGGATGGCCAGCTCTGAGAAAACTGAGAGAAAAGGTGTTGTTTTTGTCTTTTGATACCAGACCAAGTGGGCTCGCCTCCTCGTGAGTTAAATAAGATTCCACACCAGTGGAAGTTGTCTCACAAAGTAAAGTGTATTTGCAGCAAATAGGAGGGCATGAGAAATCATTTCCAAAGTCATGGCATCCCTGAAGAAAGGGAAGTAGGAACTTTTACTTTGGTTGGGGAATGAATATTCAAAAGGGAGAGGCAGGTATTTGCTTGCACAGGCTCAGCTGGAAAATATGCTTCTGCATACTCTTCAGATTATAGTAATGAGGCTTAATCTCCTCCTGGAGAGATCTTTGTACAAAAATTAAGGCAAGGTCATGGGCGTGGCTCTTGTACGGAGGCTTGGTTAGCTTCAGGGTGGTTGCTGGTTGTGTCTCTTTAACATATAAACAGTTAAATGCTTCCAAACCCACCCTTGAGTTCCTTGGGCGGTGAAATTTGATCTTTGATTTTTTGGGGGAGTTTGGGTGGGGGTTGGAGTTGTTGCTTTTAAGCAAGAAAGGGGACTTATTAGCACATACGTTGAAAGAACAGTGTGAACTCAGGGACTTTCAGACTGTCAGGATTGCGCACACCTCACTCTGTGTTGGCCTCGGGTTCTTCTGTGATTGGCTTGTCCTCCTCCAGGTGACCCTGGGGTCCGCATTGAGATATTGCTGCAGCCACAGTGGAAACACGTGGAGGAGGCAGAAGAGGTTCCTCAAAGAGGCAGAGCAGATATTAGCAGGAGAAGAGGGGAGAGATGCCAGGCACACAGAACCATAAAGGTCTACTATCTCCCCAGTTCACAGGTAGGGAAAGTGAGGCTCAGCAAGCCCCTTACCTCATGGGCCAAGCTCCCCCTATGTTGCACTGCCAGTAAGAATTACATCTGGTTTTAGGGATGGCAAAATTAGACCCAGAGAGGGGAGGGTCACAAGCTAATGACTGGCTGGACCAAAACTGGCTCCAGAAATCAGGACTCATGGTCTTTCTAATATATTTGGCAGTAGTGTGTGTTCGTTTGGGAGACTGAAGATAGCTAGGAAATAGATGT